AAATTAGTATCAAAATCTTGACGTGATAAAGTATAAGATGTATAAATACCTGAAGAAAAACTCATCCCTTGTAAAATCTCCTCTAAAGCAATAACTTTTGGCAATAATGAATCGCAAGAAGCCTTCTCTCGTGAGTCTCCAATAACTATAAATCTATAATTCTCACGCAAGTCATCAAGAAAGTTCACAGGTTGAACTAATACACTATACGCATTTCACATCTCTTTTTGGGAATATTTTTCTACAAAATCTTCAGTTATATCTTTAGAGGTCTTTCTATAAAAAGATGTGAGATTGTATTTTTGCAAAGCAAGTCTATAGGCTGGGTCTATATCCTCTTCTCTTTCTAAATATTCTCGAATATCCAAAGCTTTTATATCACTCAAAATCTAAGCATTAGTAATCATTGAATATTTTTCTGTATTCAGAGTTTTTTTGATTGAAAATACCTGTAAAAGTAATTCTTTGTCTTCATTATTTTCTGTAAATTTTGAGTTGATAGAAGGGCAGTCTTTGGCAATATTAATATTATAACTATATTCGCTAAGACGATCAGTCAGTAAACTAACAAAATCATTTTTAGATGCATTGCGACGAGATGCGTTATAAAGATGAGTTTCCAAAGAAGCATTTGGCTTAAAAATCTATCTGCCATCTGGAGTAAGTATCTTATCACAATGAGCCTCTTCTAGATCAGGATATTACATCGATAGCTGATAAAACAAAGTAAATCCTCATGTTCTGTTGGCAAATTATCGCTACGTAAATCCGTTAGAATATGTACTACATTTTGATTTAGCTTTCTAATGCAGTACAACATCTGATATGCTTCATTGCTCGTCAGACCAGCTAATGTGCGGAAGTGTGCAAATGTCATATCGAAGTTTTTGACTATTATACTTACTTCACAAGTCATCACAGGAGTTGCTATCAAATAGTCAAGATTTGCCACTGCATTATTGATATCGACAAATATTTCTTTTTTCTCAGTTTCTGATAGTCGTTTGGAAAAATACTTGCCTTGATATCCTTGAGATTCTAATTCCTTATGAAGGGCCTCTGCCATTTCTGCACTAGCAAACATTAGAATATAGACTTTTAATCCTTGTCTCAGAGCTCCAATTAATTCAACATTCTATTTTTTGGTATTAATATGTATAAGAGCATGATGTTTATCTCGTATATGCTGGTTCCATATCATGGTTGAATTTTTGGCATCTATTTTCGAAATGTTTTGTAAATGTACAAGTAAGTCTGAATCTAATGTAGCATCTAAAGCCAATATTAATAATGCAGATTGAAGCAAGAATTTATATACATCATGACTTAGCTTTGGTTTTTTCATAGTAGATCTACTAAAATTTTGAGTGATTGTTTTAAACTCATCCAGTATAATTATATCATAGCCAGTTGCTCCAAGTTTGTGAATGCTTTCCGGATTGATAATGAGTTTAGGGGTATCTTTAGGATTAAGTTTTTTTGCATCCAGCTCGAGGTAAGACTTAAATTCTTCAAAAAGAACTTTTTGTCCATGAGCAAGAGAACGCCAACCAGATATGATGAGAGTTGAAACAGAAGATCTATCAAAATGACAAAGTGTTCTTATTTCTTCTGCTGTCTCATTTGATTTGGCAATACTACAATGTCCTTTAATAAGCATCAAGTGCCGGTTACCACTTGTAAGTTTAGCTTGTAAATTATAGCTATGCATTGTTTTAGCATTATATATTTCAATGTTCTTTCTAACAGCAGTAAAGTTATTTTGTGAATAAGACTGTGATCTATGCTGAAGCCGAGCTCTTAATCTATCTAAATGAGGAATAACTTTTTTCTTATTATGATCTGCTCTATCAACCTCAATACCGGATTCCCCCTTTTTTTGCCTAAAACAATAAAAAAAATAATACGATTCACGCCATCTACTATACATACCTTCTCTCATGTGCTCTTTTTCATAGATTAAACATGTTGTAGGCCAAATTCTATCAAAAATATCGAAGCCATTATTAGAATTTCGATAAGACAGAAAAGGAAATTGGTTTTCTCCTATTTTTATTGCAGTATCACTCTCCTCACGTGAGACAGACTCATTTTTCAGCTTTTTATCTTCTTCCCATTCATATGGCCAGAGTTCTATAGAATCTTTCTCAATATGAGTGATAAGTGACTCTCTTCAAGTATGATTTGAACATATGCGTTTAATGTGTGAAGAGTCTTTGGCTTTATGACTTCCTGCTAGTCAAAAGCAATAGAGATTCTTGTTTACTTTTTCATCAATAAAAGGATGCATTCTTTCTGGAAGAAGTTTTAAGATTCGTGATGTAAATTTTCAAGCTTTGGATACACTTCAAACAAAATACCTAGGTAATATCAAGTGTTTACTCTATTTCATTTCATTTGAGGAATCAGCTATAATAATGTCATTCTTTGAGAGATTCAATCTACTTATTTCTTTTATGGCAATTCGGAGAGCATTCTTGATATACAAACTAATCTCATCTTTTTTACACATTATATCTGTAGATTTTTACTATATATGAAGATGTGTATTAGCAATATAACCATCAAATGATTTTTGTCCTAAAGCCTTTTTTATTCTATCTAAAGGATCAGAATATGATGCAAATTTTTCCAATTCACCATCCATATTAATCTTAATTTTTTGTGGCTGTTCTATTCGAATAACCTCATGAAATGTACGCTGGTTTTCAGATATCGATTCATGCCATATTTCAAACTCGGATAAGTTATCGAAATATTTATAGCTATGAGGAAACTCTTGCCAGATAACCTATCCTTCAGGTTGAACATTTTCTGAAGCATAAAGGCATTCTTTTCTAGGGCAATCAGAGCAGTTAAGATATTTATATTTTCGCAAGACTCGTTGCTTATCTCTTGTTAGATTTGGCAAATCGTCCCCAGAATCGCTAT